CAATCCACTGTACCTGTCTCCTTTGCCGACCTTCCACCTTTCCAAATATGATATCCCTCTCCAAGAAATAGCCTCTCTTAGCATCAGGCCCAAAGTATGTGTGACTGCCTCCAAGAAGCACTCTGGAGTACTCAACAGTAATAAGTAATCACCCAGTTATTTAAGGCTGTATCCAAACAGCAGTCCTGAAAGCATGAATCTTGGCTTTAACGTTTGGTTAGGGTGGTACGGGTTATATGCTTAAAATACGTTCCCCAGGACTAAGTTAGGGAACAGGAATTCTTTGTCCATTTCTTTCCAGTGCTGGCTCTGGCAAGAAATTGGGATAAGCTAGACCAGAGGCAGAGATGTTTGGACAATAATCAAAAGGTGATGGATGCACAACAGGGATTCCTTAATGTGGTTGAAAGAGGAAGGGGGGTGTTAGGATTAAACTAGATTCCTTTCTAATCTATTTCACAGCTCTCTCCTATGAAAATTTCAAAGTCCAGAGGAAATAGTAACCTCATCATCTAGACAAACATCACTCTCTCACTGCTATACAGTCATAGTGACTCATAGCTGACCCTCCAGCAAGTTTTCAGCAACTATAAAACACACAAGAGGAAATTGCTCATCTTTCTTCCATGGATTTAAACTTTCAGAGAGCCTCAGCCCTTGGATAAACATTGTGCCTCTCTACAGACTACCGCCAAAGCTCCCTACATCCCTGTTGTGTAATGTTGAGTTGGAACCGACCCACAAGCTGGCCCTCCAGTTTGTTTTCACGTGGGAGGGATCACATTCAATAAAATCTCCTTGATGACTCTGATATGCAGCTAGGGCTGGAGAACACTGAACAGCTGTCTAGAATCTACTGCGGTTACTGTATAGGTCTGTAAATAATTTAGCTACTTAATTATCAGAAAAAGCTAAAGGACTATTCATCAATGTGACTGCCTCAACATTCATGCATTCCTTGCTGTTGAGTCAGAACTGACCTTCCAGTGGGTTTTCGGGAAGTTGTAGATTCTTACTACTGGGTCAACTGGCAGCACCATGATAGATGGAGAAGGGACTGAAATTGCTAATAGCTTCAACTTGCTTGGCTCCACCATCAACACTTTGGCACCAGCAATCAGGAAATCAAAAGATTAATCACTTTGGGAAAGCCTGCTGTCAGGGACCTCTCTAGAGTGTTGAAGAGCAATGATGTCAGTCTAGAGACTAAGGTGCATCTGATCCTGGCCATAGTCTTCGCAGTTACATGCTATGCATAAGACAGCCAGACAATGACTAAAGATGACAGAAAAAGACTCTATGCCTTTGAGTTGTGGTGATGGAGAAATCTTGAACATACCGTGGACTTATAGAAGAACAAATAGGTCTGTCCTGGAAAGAGTGAATCCAAGTTTCTCCTTGGAGGCAAGGATTTAAAAGCTCTATCTCACATACCTTGGGCACGTGGCCAGGAAGGATCAGTCCTTGGAGAAGGACATCATGCTTGGAAGAGTGGAGGGACAGCACAGAAGAGGAAGACCCCACATGAGATGGACTGACATGATAATTGGGGCAGATGTGTCAGAATCAGTAAGATTGGCTCAAGATAGAGCAGGGTTCGGAGCTGTTGTATATAGGGTCGCTATGAGTCACAGGTGAATCAAGGGCACATAACAATGACAAATCTCATAGAAGGAAATAGCCCATCTTTCTTTTGAGAAGCAGCTGGTGAATTCAAACCATGGACCTTTGGGCTGGCAGTGCAATTCCTTAGCACTAAGGCGCCAGAGCTTTAGTTCAGTAAGAAGTGATGATTATTTTTTAGTTTGTAGGTATTTTTAATTTCTAAAGTATCATTATATAAAAATCTGTTGTTGTTGTGTACCGTCAAGTGGGAACCAATGCATTACTGACCCTCTGGTGGGTTTTCAGAAGCAGTTAATCTAATGGGAGGAGATTGCCCATCCTTCTCCAGCAGAGAAGCTGGTGGCCTCAAACTGCTTGCCGTAGGGATTGCAGCACAGCTTCTTGCCACTAGGCCACCAGAATTTAAGTATCCTGGTGCTCCTTTAAGGCTACTGTTGGGCCTATTCATTCCCCAGTCTCTATTTGAGGGGAGTCTGGAGAAGCTGTTTGGCGCATGACTAAGATAAAACCATTTTGTCACTGTTTTCCATTCAACAACCCTCTGGGTGACATGCAGAAGGGGAGAAGCAGGAGCCAGCAGATTAAAGACCTGCCTTCTATGTAACCTTCAAAGAAGGACCTAGAAAAGGATGTATTGATAAGGGCAAACAAGACCATACATGCTATGGTTAGGCTGCATTTTTGTGCACCGAGGACTTTTAAAGATGGCATAAAAGAATGACTTACAAACTCTTAGACAACGATCTGTGGACTATTTTTTTAAGTATCTCAGTCATTTGAAAGGACTGTTCTAATGTAAATATCACAAAACCTTCATATACAATTTAAAAATCATACTGTGTACAAAAGGAAGGGTATGTCATAATGTAAAGGCACAACTTGTTTCAGTGCACTTCCTGATTCATTTGCAGGGTGTTGGCAAACCGGAAAGCATGATGTCTTTCTCTTCCCCAAGGATTTGGAGATCTCATTCAATTTTAAGAGCTCCTTCATGACTAGTTTATTACAGATACTGTTTGATTATCATTTTCCAGTTCAGCTGGTTTGGTGACCATTTGACACAAGTGAAATATCTCATTCTTAGATTTAGTCAGTATCTGGCAACTGCCGATTGAGTAACAATACTCCCTCCCCCTTTTCCTTTTTTTTTTGGTGGGTGGCCCAGGCGTTAGATGGGCACAGAAGGAAGCCAATATCTGGTGTGGGCAACAGCATACTGTGTAATTGCTGCTTGGTCTTGTGACGACATACTTTGGGCATGTAGAAATTTTCTTTCCCGCAACATATCTCCCCTCAAACTGCAGAGTTTTATTTTCTTGTGTGTAGGGGATGGGCAAAATAGAGAAGAAGAAGGAAAGAAAAGAAAAAAAAAGCAGCCCACACATACTGATTTGTTTGCTTTTTCATACCTGGCAATTTTTAAACCATTGGATACTGCCTACAACCAGTGGTTAGCAAAGCATACTGTAAAGTCATCACAACTCAGTACTTAAGGCTATCATTCTTATATTTGGCCCAAATGCACGATCTAAGTAGAAAAAAACAAAGTTAACTTGTTCCAGGTATAGATAGCTCCCTGTCCCCTCTGCCAGAGAGTGGGGAGCAGGATAAAACACTGTGCTGCAATCCCAAAGGCATGCGGTTTGAGGCTACAGCTGCTCTGTGGGGAAAAAAAGAAGGGCAATCTTCTCCTGTGTGACTAATTGCCTCTGCAAACCCACTGGAGGGTCAGCTATGGCTCGGTTCCTATTCAGTGGTACTTAACAACAACAACAAATCAATAAAGTACTCGGGAGTGAGGATGTCACTTTGAGGACTAAGGTGCACCCGAATCAAGTCATGGTCTTTGGCACTTGCCTCATTGTACGTGAGATTTCGACATTGAACAAAGACGAAAGAACATGCTTTTGAAGTGTGGTGCTGGCAAGAATATTGACTGTAGTATAGATCCCCAAAAGAATGCTCATTAGAAGCAAGGCTTTTTCTTACATAATTTGGGTATCAAATTATGATAACAGGAGGAGCTAGTCATTGGAGAAAGAATGGTTGTCAAAGTCCTTTGCCATCCTCACAAGCTCTTCAGCTGTTACAGTCACTGTGTCAATCCACCACTTTGAATGTCTTTTCTTTCACTGACTTTACTAACCATAGTCCAAAGACAACCCTTACTGATTCCCATCGAGTTGAGCACGACTCATAGCGACTCTGAACAAAAGGCCTGAAGCCTTTCTATAACTATCATCATTTATCAAAGATCATAGTTTCTTGCCGGAGGCATGTTATTTAAGAAGTGGATGCCACTCTTGTTTCCTGTTGTCTTATTTGTAAAACAACACTAGTCACTCAATATCGAGTATTTGCTATGTACAAGGCATTGTGCTAAACACTTAAAAAAAACACACCAAACCAACCACCAAAATCTTAAGAGGAGGCAGGACACTAATATTTTTATTATTATACTAGCTTACTTATAAAATTGGAATACATTGTTTTTCAGACCAGATTCTTCCAATTTCCCTCACCACCTCCCCATTAAATTGTACAACCTCATGATTAATCCATGGCCCCCACCTCCACACATTCTCATCCTCTGCTTCCACCCTCCACCCCTTGGACTCTCATACCCATTTTACAGTAATCGTTTTATACAATACTTGTCCTCGCGGGACTGAGTCAGTTCACTCAGCATAATGCTCTCCAGTCCCTCCCAAGCTAGGTAATAATTTACAAAATCATTGCTCATGCGTGCCGCATAGTATTCCATTATATGAATGTATCATAATTTCCCAATCCATTCGATTGTGGTTGGAGACACTAACCGTTTTTACCTGGTGACAAAAAGTTCCTGTTTTAGTTCAAGGAAAAAAAACGGCTGGTAAGGCGGTTCTGTAGCCCAGGATCTAAAACTGGGCAGACAATACTGAATTTCCCTGTTTCTAAGGGGTGAAGGGCAAGGATTGAAAAATAGCACATTGAGAAAAAAAAAATTAGCACTTTGGTACCAGATGGTGCCAGAAGGAAAACTGGCTCGCAAACTTCTCTTTAGTTTACAATCCATTTCACTCCTTGTCTCCAAACGCAGTTCTTCCCTGCCCCCTATCTTCCACCTCTAGATTTCCCCACAAGTTTCTAGGCAGGTTTCATTTGTAAACCTGTCCAGGATTCTTAGGATGCTTCATGCATCTTAAAAGGAGTCGTCTCTTGGCTTCTAAACAGACATCACTTGAAGGTCCATGAATGAGGAGCGAGTCTTTTCCTTCTTAACTCATCCTCATGTTCTGGGATGTGGCTAGTACTGTCCCCTATAGAACCTGTCATCTCAGCTCCTGGTTTCTGCAATCCCTGGTCAACGAGATCAGTTTTAGGGACGACACTGGCTGTGCTTCAGGTCCTCTTTCCTGTTGAAGTGTTTGAAAAGGACTGAGTGTCCCCGGCTGGACCCCGCGAGCAGCCCCGCATCCCCGGCTCCCACGCGCGCCGCGCCGGCCCCACGTCCGTCTACCAGCGCCCCGCCTCGCCGCGTTCCCTCGCACGCCCCGCCCCTGCCACCTCGGCGCATCTCATTGGCCAGACCCCGCGACCGCCTCGGCTCCCGACTGGCTGTCGCCGCCGTCAGTTTGCGCGGCCGGGGACATTTCCGCATTGAGGGGCGCTGCTCCGAATGGAGGGGGAGGGGAGGTGTTTAGGAGAAAGTGGGGGCTCAGGGCGTCCCGAGACGCCAGCCAGGGGGTGTGAGCGGGGGTCCGCAGCCGTGCGGCGACCGCTGGCGAGGAGCTCAAGTTGTGCATGTGGACGGGGAGACGGGGAAAGAGGAAGGTTCCTCTGAGGGAGCCCATCGTGTCAGCTGCGAGCCGCCTTCCCGGGGCTCCATAAACGCCCCCCATTTTCCCAGCTGCTAAAGGAAGAGGAAGAAGGTGGGTTTCGCTGGCGGGTCGGGGTAGTGCGGAGACGGAGACCAGCTCGGGGAGGGTGTCTCTTTTCTCCGAGGTGTTTGGAAAGCGCCCCCCACTTGCCCGGTCCCGAAGGTGGAATGTGGGGGTGCAGGAGGGGTGTCGGGCGCGATCGGGGCCCCGGCGGGCGCCTGCAGAGCGGACGCGCGTGCGCTCCGGGGCCGGCGGCTGTGCGCGCGGCCTCTCCGGGGAGCTCCACGCGGGACCCCGCGCGCACAGCCGCCCTGCGGACTCCCCGACCCCCCGCAGTCCTGCCCGCGGCGAGGGTTTCCCGGGGAACCGGCGGGCGGCCAGCGGCTGGACGGGGCGGGGTGGCCGGGGGTGCAGCCCTGGAGGGCGTGGGGACGGGGGGGCGGTGAGCTCGCCGCCGTGGGTCCGCCTCTTTCATTGATGAAATTTAAGTTCGTGCGCCGTGATCCGCCCGGGAGGCTCCGGGAACGCGAGCGCACCGAGTTCCCCCGGTTTGGGAAGTGGCGGGGGAGTGGTCTCCCTGGGTGGATTCTCTTTTCCCACCCAGTTTTAGTCACTTTGAATAAATACTCCCTTAAGTGGCTGGACACGGGAGGAGCAAGCCTAGACGGTGGTTAAACGCTGGGGGAAGCGCAGAGACCCGCTGTACCCGTGACTTTGCTTTGAAACTGCCTAGATTTCCCAGTTAAAAGCTAGATTATTTGATTAAAGCCCCACCATGTCGAGGTTTGTCCAAGGTAAGATCCCCTTCTTATGTCCGGGGTGGCTTCAGCGGAATAATCTGGGGACTGGACTGGAAGAGGTCGCTGGGGCGGTGTGGGGGGAGGTTCATTTGAGATCGAGAGTTATTTGCGAAACCTTTTGGTTAAAATGGACATCTGAGCTGCGGTGAACTGTTGGGTTAGCGTTTCAGCTGCTTATGAATTATGTCCCTGTGCTGCTCGCGATTCGGTCCTGTCCTCTTGCAGTTCAGCCACTAGCCATCTGGTTCCCGGGATAGTAGTAGTAGGTGATGATCAAACAGGCTTTGGGGCTGCTGATCGATCCGTGCTCGCTCTTTCGGGGGAGTGGAAGGTATCTGAGTGTTGGTGGACGGGGGAAGGCAGAGGGAGTTTGCCCGGACTGTTGCTGTGTTGCTGGAGCTTTAGTGTTCTCGGTTTTACTCAGTGTGTACGTGGTTGGAGTCTCAGATACATGGATTGCGAAACAGAGGGAGAGGGAAAGGGAGAGAGAGGCACACACACAGAAGCAGAGAGACAGACAGCAGAGAAAGAGACAGACAGACTAGCCCATAGAAGCTAGAGGTCATTTCAGCTGGAAAAACGACTTTGCTGCATTGCTGGCTAGGTATTTCTCTTCTTTGCAATTGGAACGCTTATGCGTCTTCTTTGAAATTTGAAAAGTGCCCTGTAAAATCCACCTGTGTATAATATATATACTTAAAGCTTAGAGTATGCCCCCGAGCTTGCCATCTGGGTAACAGTGCATGTTATGGGTGTTTGGTGTACAACATTGAATTGAAACTTCTGGCAGCAGTAAAGAATTTGCCTTACTTTTGTGCAAGTAACCTTTTTTTTGCACACCCTAGGGTGTTAGTGCCTTAGCCATCTTGCTGAAACACACACAGCTTAAGTCAAGTTCACAACCAGTTCACAAGGCTCTCCATAAATGTACAAGTGATTGGGTGGGGGAGGGAGTTGAGTCAGTAATGGCCAGCTGACTGGCCAGTTATGTCAGTCGTGGAAAAGAAAAATATCTTGTTAAGTCTTATATCATTTTAATCCTAAAATTTGTGCCATAAATTAAGAGAATTTGCCCACTTTTATTAATATTGGAAACAGATGGGACACTTATGCCTGCTTTTAGCTTCTAAGCTCAGAAATGTCACTTGTCATTAGACTTTCAAATTCATGTTAGAGTTTACAAGGAATGAGAAATACTTAATGCGTTCAGATTGAAAAAAAAGTCTTTTTCAAGCATAGAAAGCCTGAGGTGACTGTAAAAAACCAGGGTAGTTTTGTAGTAACAACAACAAAGTCTTATGATAATAAAGTTAGTATCCTGCATGAAAAGTGGACATGTTGCTTCTCTTTCAAAGTTAAGAATATTATTAAACTCAAGTTATCCTTTAGTTTTTAGAATAACTTGCAGCATGAATGCACACAGATTCACTGATAATAATTGATTGTCCCTTGTAGATTGTAAATCAAGAGTTGCTGTATATGTTTGCCATTCTTTTCCATTGTTCACTTTTTAAAAAATACCTTTTAAAAAATTTAGAATAATTTTAGACTTAAATAAAAGTTGCAAGGATTTTTTTTTTCTAGTAAGAACCTTGGCATTTTGTCAAAACTGAGATGTTAATGTCAGTGTGCTGCTATTAACTATAGGGTTTTTTTTTTTTCAGATTACTTTCCTAGCATCTAATCCAAGAGACTAGCTAATTAGGGAGATGGGGTGGCTAGGATGTAAAGATTTGTGCTGCCAACCCAAAGACGCACGATTCGAATCCAGTAGCTGGTCTGTGGGAGGGAGATGAGCATTGTCCTCTTGTGTGTCCCATAGCCTCTGAGAACCAGCTGGAGTGGATTTTAATCCCACAGCACATAACAACAATCCAAGATTTCCACGTTTACTTTGGTGATTTCCTTTTCAATTGGTAGCTTTGCACAAAAGGTGACCCCTCCCTGCTGCCTAAATTGATTTGATTTTGCACCTACTTATCTTTTGACATAGCCTGTAGGAAGTGGTGCTGTGAACTCAGGGCACCTCTCTCTGCTGCTTCAAAATCCACCAGTGGTGTCAAGGAATAAAGATGAGCAGTTTCTTCTCTGATTTACAGCCTCCTAAAATCCACTGGAGGGTCAGGCAGCTGTGAGCTAGCTCCCGTTCATTGGCAATGAGGGAATTAGTTATCACTCTTTAAATCTTGTATTACACATGTAAGATCTCTTAAGTGTTTAACTCCGGGGCAGATATAAATGATGAAGTTAGTTGATGAGAGCAATCAGCTGTGTCCACAGGTTGGTCTGCATTTTAAAAGTTTTTAAATTGGAATTTTTATTTTTAAATATTTCCTCCTCCTTTTTAAAAAAATATTTTAAATAAAATAGTTCTGTCTTTGCTGCAGAGATTATTGATATATTAACACATTGGCACTTCGCTCCTGACTCTTTAAAGGCCTCAACCACTGTGTGTCCTGCCTTGTCTCAGGTCAGCTTATGTTAGAGCCTAATGAGGGAGGGTTTTTTTGGTTGTGTTTCCTTTATAAGAGGTAGATGACAGTGACTTGACAGCTGAGGAAAGTAGGGTAAAGTATGGTGTTCAAAGTTCACGGTTGTTAGTCATGGAAATGCTGATATAAATGTACCTAAAGCCTTTGCCCTTTCCAACTTCATTTTTTTCCCCTTCCTTTAGAAAAAGGAAAATCTCGTTATGAGGGGACCGATTATAGGTGCTCCATGGGGAAAATTACAGTGTCTTTATCAGTGGTGTCGAGAGCTCTGGTAGTCCCTCAGGGAGGAGGCTGTAGCCAGAAGTGCTGGGCTGTGAATATCCAGTGGTTCAACCCCTGCAGTGTCTGCTGGGGGGAAAAAAAAATAGAGTTTCCTACTATTACTGTTACAGCCTGGGAACCCACCCAGCTCGCTGGCAGTCAGTGTGAGTTTTCACACTGGTAGTATTGTGCTCTGTGACAGGATTTTTGTGTATCCCTTATGTTGGGTACATGAAATGAAAAAAAAAAAGTTTGGGGGGTGTTGCATACATGTGTTGATGGAACATGCTGTTGTAACAGTTGCCTTGACTCTGTTCCCCTAAACCTAGGCGATAACCTTTATAGGAAAGCGCAACATCTCCATCTTTCAGTGCTTTAACATAAAGTAGTTGACGAAACTGTTTAAGTGCTCAACTACTAGCCACAAGGTTGGCAGTTTGATTCTACCCAGGGATCTGGTTGTCCTTTTTTGGAATCCCACAACCTTGAAAACCCTGTGAAGCAGTTCTTTTCTGTCCACGTGTGACTGGCACGGGTTGGGATCACTCAGAGGCAACTGACAACAGCATTGTCAGAACTCCCCATCGCCGACCCTCCAGTGGGTTTTCAGAGGCAGCTAATCAGTCACACGGGAGGAGATTGTCCATCCTTCTCCCACGGAGCAGCTGGTGGATTCAAACTGCCTGCCTTTGAGTTGACAGTGCAGCTCCTTACTGCTAAAACCAGCACAGCTCCTTTCATTAAGTAGAAATGCTCAGTTAATAAAAATACTTAACTAGGTAGACAGGCGATTCTCCATACTTATTCCTTGTCCAGGAGATGATGCCACTTTCTTTGGGCATCTCTCCAAGTCTGTTCCTCGGGCACCTAAAGTTCTTCTCTTAAAAGACCCGCCACTCTGCTGGATCTGGGCCTTAACTCCTTGGCGAGTGTATTCTGCCCTCAGGACACCTTCCTTATGCCTATGAAAGAAATGACCTCAGAGACTAATTTTCTGTCTCATAGGTTGTTGCAAGGCCCCTAATTATTCTAAATTTGCATCCCATTTTTTCTTCCCCCAGCTGAGTGAAGGGGTGTGGGGAAAGCAGAACCGAGGCACAGGGCACATCATCAGCTGGAGGTATCATTTGAACTTCTGGTTTT